GACGCGGGCGCACCTAACTTGCCCTCCTCCTCCTCCTCCTGCTCCTCCTCCTCCTCCTCTTCCTCCTCCTCCTCCCTCTCCCCGACTCCCCTTCCCCGCCCAACCCTCCCTCCTCGCTGACTCCTTCTCATCCTCCAATAGTTTCGCATCCCGAGGCCAGTCGGAAGGGCGGGCCAGGCGTTTCGCCTGAGACTTCACCACCACTCACGGGCCTCAAGCTTCAAAACTGGCAACAGCTTCACAAGTGGAGGGTGGGCCGCTTCCAAAATGTGGCTCTCGCCTCAGCGCTGCGCACATTTGTTCAACAAACATGCAAGCGCTTCGCGGATTGAGACAGGTCGGTTTCAAATGTGACTCTCGCCTAAGCGCCTCGCACAGTCGTTAAGAATATAAAAGGTTCTCAAATATTGAGGGCGGGTAGTTTTCAACATGTGGCTCTTGCCTTAGCGCCGCGCACATTCTTTGTTAAACTCTACAAGAGCTTCAAGTATTGAGGGCGGCTCTTCTTCAAAATGCGTACTTCGCCTAAGCGCTGCGCACTTTCGTTTTTTGTTCAAGCGGCCCCTTTTCAAAATGTGGCTCTCGCCATAGCGCCGCGCACATTCGTTTCAAACAGTTGCAAGTGTCCCGCTGATCCTCATGGCTAGCGTGCCAGATGCGGTGTTGTGGAACGATTCAGGTTTGTCAGGGCGCAACAGCTGCGTTGATTCGCGGTGTGGAAGTCCCAGGAAAAGCGTTCTGGTACGATTCAGGATCGTCAGGACGCAAAAGTAAGGCTGACTCGTGGCGTTCAAAACCTGAGAACGGTGTTTTGGCACGCTCCAAGCGCTTCGCACAGTTATCCCCCAACGGGGCACTTCCCTGAGTGGAGAAGAACCCTTGTAGCTAGCGGCCTATGAAGAGGGAGCTTAGAGGGAGGGTGCATTCCAACGTCGTTGACGAGCCGCGGGTTTACGCTGGTCATCCCCCTCCTCGTCAGCAGCAGCACCACCACCACCACCACCTTCATCGTCCCCCTCCCCCATGTCCTCCCCTTCCCGGCACCTAGAATGCTCTGGCCTCTGCACCAGCAGCCCCCCAGGCCAGGCCACGTGGACCGGGGCCCCAACCATCGCCCAGCGGCCACTTGGCTCTTCGACCCCTGGTCGCCCGGCGGCTCCCCTTCTCCATCCACCACAGCGCCCCAGACCTCCATTGCCGCGACTGCTTCCCAACGTGGACCCCCGGAGGACTTGCCCTGCCCCCAGACTGGCTCCTCGGCTCGAGCCGTTGTTGAAACTCCTGGGGTCCGGCAAGGGCCATTTGGGGCCGAAGATCTCGACACAACTTGCACCGCGACTTCTTCGCGACGCGAGGAGGTATGGGCCTTCCTCCATCCTCCTCCCTCCTCTCCTCCTCCAGGCAATGCCACGGACGTGTCACCACAAAGGGGGTCACCTCCTCCTCCAACTGAAGGACCCCCCTGGACCCACCAGAACCCTCCAGGACCCCCACGGACGCTCGATCCTCGATCCTCTTCGATCCTAGATCCGCCTTCTGCTCCTCGATCCTCGATCCTCGATCCTCGATCCTCCTCCTCGATCGTCTGCTTCCATGGAGCAGGTGGTGCCCCCCCTTTGGCACTGCTTGGCATGAGAGAAACGGGGACTCCAGGAAACAGGTCCTGGACCCTGGAAGGCCCCCAAGGACCTAGGAGGAAAAAAGCGGCGAAAAACCTCAGGACCCGTTCCCCGCAGCAGGTTGTCCTAACGGGGCCGTCGGGAAAATGACGAGACCCAGTCTGAAATGTGACGCGAGCTCCCGCTGCAAGCATCCCACGGAACCAGACCGTCAAGCTCCAGCACGTGCCCGTCAGAAAGCGTCTGCAAATAGAGCTACAGCGAACTCGAGTCTTACGCTTCCCCTGGCTCTGGACTCGTTCCCTTCGTGGCGAACTGCCCGAGCCGCGGTGCGTCCCCTGGCCCGCCGAGGCGCAGGAGCGCGTTTCCTTACTTCCGGCGATAACGGGCATTAGAGGGGGGGGGAGGGGGCCAGGGGGGGGATAATGTAACGCCTCCCCCCCGCCGTGTCCCCGATGCGCACAGCGGCAGTGCCTGGAGCGCCAGGGGTGGGGGGGGGCGTTACGCTATAGGGGGGAGGGGGGGGGAGGAGGCTAGAATGCCCATTCCCCAAGCAATAAAGAAACACGCTCCAGGCCCCTCGGGGCGGGCGCGCGTCTCGGCCCTCCGATCGGCCGCAGCACCGTCCCGAGGCACTGCCGTCTGCTGCCCCGCCGCGGTACGCTCGGGGCCGCGGTCGCAGCGCGACAGGAGGAGGGAGGAGGGAGGAGGGAGGAGAGAGCAGGGAGCAGGGAGCAGGGAGGAGGGAGGAGGAGGAGGAGGAGGAGGAAGGAGGGAGGAGGAGGAGGAGGAGACAGAGGGTGAGGAAGGTGGAGGACGACGGGAAAGGACAGAGGAAGGAAGGGCAGCAGCAGCAGCAGCAGCAGCAGCAGCAGAAGGAGCACAAGGAGGCGAAAGAGATGAAGGAAGAGGAAGGAGGAACAGAAAGTGGAGGAAGGAAACACGAGGCGGAGGCGGAAGGGGGAGGAAGCAGAGGAGAGGCGGAGAGTCGGAGACTTTTGGAAATATTGTGCCTGTCGGCCTGTCTGCCTAGGCGCCTGCTTGTCTGCTGTTCGGCTGCCTCTCTCTCTCTCTCTCTCTTCCTCTCTCTTTATCTCTCTCTCTCTCTCTTTCTCTTCATCTCTCTCTCCCTTTTCTCTCTCCCTGTAATATCGTCTTGGACATACATATCTGCGTATCCAGAAAGGCCTCGCTAACTATACGTGTGTGTGGGTGTGTGTATGAACACATGTGTGCACCCATAGCTATGTATGCGCGTATACAGGCCCGGCCGAAATCTTGCCAGTCGTAGGTCGGGCGTGTCCCCCTACAGGCGCATGTTGGACGGAAACCCAGAGATGCCCCAGAGGTGTTCAAGCATACTCCAAAATAGCTTTAACAAAATCGTCCCCAAACGATTTATAGACCATGTTCGAATACTCCTCCTGTTGAGGGACACGCCCGACTTAATGGGCATCGTTTATCCGAACCCTATCCCCATCTAGGTGGCCTTTTCTCCACTTGGGGATTTACCCCCCGAGATGGGGATATAGGCCGTCTCCCTCGGGTTTTGGAGGGTATATCCCCAAGTCGGGGGCGGCGGGAGGGGGTGGGCTGGTAGGAGGCTTCATGGGGTTGGGGTTAGGTTAACCGATAATGACTTAATGCTAGTCTAAAGTCAAGCCGAGATGCTGCAGCCGTCGTTTTCGGCAACTCGTGCCGAGCTCGGCCGGGCCTCTCGGCCCGAGGAGGGCACCGAGCCCCTGCGTTCCCCGACGTCGCCCCTGCGAGCAGCGCCAACGTCGAGCGCTCCAGCCCGCGCGCAATATGAATCGCTGGGTCGCTCTCTCGTTCGCTCTCCCTCCCTCTCTCTCTCTCTCCCTCTCTCCCCCCTCGATCCCTCCATATGTTTCTCTCGCTCTCTCTCTCTCTCTCTTTCTCTCTCCCTCCCTCCCGCCCTCCCTCGCTCCCTCCCTCTTTGTTTTTTGTTTCTCTCTCTCTCTCTCCTTCCCTCTCTCTCTCTCTCTCTCTCTCTTATATATATAGATGTATACACACACACGTAAAGTTTGCTACCACCTGACTCCTGATATTAGCGTGGGCAGCTGGCCCATCGCCTTCGAGCGACAAAGCCCAGGCGCTACCCAGGGCGAGACACTTGTCTCGGGAAGTGCGTGCCGACAGGGCAAGCGCCACGAGAAGGGGCAAGGACGAGGGGAGAAAAGACGACAGGGGCGAGCACAAGAGTCAAAGACGGCACGTCGAGGAGGACGCAAGGAGGGAAATCAGAGGAACAGTCAGCATGCATCAACGTGAACTTTGGGAGCTCCGCGCGGGTTTTCTGGGTCGGCGCTGGACCCCCCACCCCTGGCGCGCAGAGCTGGGAAAATGTATGTGCATGCCGCTTCTTCCCCTGGGGTAGTACCCACCCCCGCACTGCGCCTCGCCGCCGTTGACTACCTACCAGACCACCCCGACCCAACCCGAAGATCCGAATTTCGGGTTGGGGGGGTACGGACTTCACGTGTGCCTTTTCGATGTTCCCCGACCCCCCCCCCACTGGAATTGGAGGGCAAATCCGGGCCGTCGGGTTGGGTTGGGGTGGGTTGGTGGGTGGTGAGCCACTGGCCCCCTGGAGCAGCAGCCGCCGCGGGCCTGCTTGCTGAGCCGGCAGCGCCACTCGCTCAGGGCGTGACCCGTCCCCCCTGGGCGGCTCGCTCCCCCCTCCCCCTCTTTCGGCCGCCCCCTCTGCCTCCTCCAAGAGGCGGTTTTGAGGGCTCCTGGGAAAGGGGCCGAAATCGAGGACCCCGTCTTTTGATCGATGCTCTCTTAGATGGCCCCAACAGGCCTTCTAGGGTACCAGCCGCAGCACCAGCAGAGGCATCAACAATATCAGCAGCACCCCTGCCTGCACGGTGGCACGATTCGCTCCAGCGGTATCCCCGCTCTAGCTCTTTGCGCTAGCGCAGACGACCCCTGCCTCGCCGCCGACGCAAAAAGTTGTATGCTTAGGTCGGGCCTGTCCTCCGACAGGCGGATTTCGAAAGAAAAACTAAAACTAGTCAAAAAGTGTTCAGACATAGCCCCCAGAGAAGCTCAGAAAACCGTCCCCGGACGATTGTTCCCATGTTGGCATACTCCTCCTGTAAAGGAGCACGCCCGACTCAAGTGTATGCCGCTCCTTCCTCATCGAGAAAGAGAAAATCGGGGATGGACAGACCCCCCTTTAGTAAAACGTGGTTTAGTGAAAACGACCTGAGGCCCGAACCTGGCCATCGCAAACCTGAAAAATGACGGCCACGGCGCCCTCTCGAGAACCGAAAACGGACAATTCACTAATCGACGTGTCACTGTTGGGGGTTCTGTCCACCCCCGAGAAAAGGCGAGGCGGCCGCCCCTGTCCTTGATGTTGGCCTTCATGTTCTCGAAGGCGGTCTCGTAGTCGGTGTCGCAGGGCTGCCCGCGCTC